TCTTAAAAAAAAAAAAAAAGAATGAGGTAGATCTCTCTGTATATTTACATGGAAACTTATTAAAATTATTAAAGACAGTAGATAAAAATATAGCAATTGTGGAGTTATATAAATAATATGGTTATATTTTCACATATTTATGAAATCCTGAAGTTATATTTACATATATATCTGCATATATACCTATATAAAAATTCATAGTAAAAAGTACAAGAAGTAGATCCAGCAAAACAGTAAAAAATATGTATTTTAAAAACTGTTACCTTGGTGGAGGGGAGAATTGAGGGACAGTGAAGAATTAGCTCTTTCTTCTACATATATTTGTGTTGAATTTTTCACAATAAAGGTATATTCATGAGTTAGAGTTTTGTAACTACATATTTGTTTTTTTCAAAAAAGTTTTAAAATTATAATTCAAAGCAAAAACTGTATTCTGATGGTATCTTGTAACTTGGATGATTAACTATTAAAATGTGAACTTTCATTCCTTGACAAATGCATATCAACTTTAATTTGATCTTTCATATTAAATAAGGTTTTTTAATTCATATTTCAATAGAGCATATTTTCAAACACTTTATTAAAAAATGTAGAAGTCTCTGTCTTTGCATATACCTGTGTCAGAATCCTTCTCTTGAATTTTTAAGACATCTGATTTAGACAGTCCAGATCTGTTTCACTATCAAAGCAGTCAACTCATTAAATATCTGACCTTTGTAAATCTCTTCATTCATCCAACTTAAAAAACAGGTGCAACCAAGTGTTTCTCTCTTTTCTTTACTCATGTGTGTCCTTCACCCCCTCTGCTATTATTTAAAGTATTCCCCCTAGTAGCCCCTCATCACCAGGCTGCTGATTTCAATCTGTGGCTAAGACTCTGGTTTCTCTCCTACAATTCCACATAGCTCTTTGCACCCTCTGGTCTCTTCTGGCAGGTTCTTTGGAGCTTTGTTATTTAAGGCAGCTTCCTAAACACCACATTACTCACTCAGCATCTCACTCAGCTTTCTTAAACAATAAAGTATTAACAGGATAACAGTATTATGATTTTAAATACTGGCTAACACATATATGTATCTCTAGTTTAAGTGAAAATGGCACTACAACATAATTACTATAATAAGATTACTTATATTACCATATTATTAGACATATTACTATGTCTAAATATTACCTATATTGCTGTAATAAAATACTATATAAGCTATATATTGTATATAATAATCACTCTCTGTATGCTCTATAGATATATAGCCCAAGATACGTGTTACTTAATTCAAGTGGTTTCAAGAGTTTTCCATTGGATCTCTTATAATATGGCCTGAGCAGCAGGCATTTTTATGATTGGCAACCTAAAGCTCATGAAAGCTAAGAGAATTAACTTACTTCAGAATTCAATTTAGTGGCTAACATGGAATTAGATCCCAGATCAAAATTTTATTACTGTCTACCTTTATATTAACTTTGATAGATTTCCATGAAATAATTACTATAAGGGATTTTTTTCTCTTATATCTTTATCATCTTTACTGTTTTCTTTTTGAAGTCCATTAAGCCTTATGGGGTTGTTTCTTTTTTTTTTAAATTTAATTTTATTATGTTAGTCACCATACATTACATCATAAGTTTTTGAGGTAGTGTTCCACGATTCATTGTTTGCGTATAACACCCAGTGCTCCATTCAATACATGCCCTCTTTAATACCCATCACAGGGCTAAAAAAAAATACCCATCACCAGGCTAACCCATCCCCCC